AGGGACCCTCCGGGAGGCTGGAGGTTCCCCCCCGCACTCCAGCAGGGTCACGGCCGCCCGGAGCCCTGCGGGACAAAGGAGAGATCGGAATGAGGCCAAAGATCAACCCTTGACCCAAATTCTGACTCTTGGCCCCGAAATTGGGACACTTGGAGATCATCATCTTGCACCCAGGTGGGTCCTGCCCCTTTTTCCAGCTGGCCACCCCAGCTTTGAGTCCCTCAACAAATCAGGTTTCTCATCCCCATCTCCCCTTTGTCCCGCAGGGCTCCGGGCAGCCGTGACCCTGCTGGAGTGCGGGGGGGACCTCCAGCCCCCCGGGGGGTCCCTGCGCCTCCTCTGCCGAGCGTCCAGGTTCAGTTTTGGGAGTTTCGACATGAGCTGGGCGCACCAGAGACCTGGGCAGGGGCTGGAATGGGTTGGAGCGGTCAATAAGGGTGGTTCCAGCACCTTCTACGCGCCATCGTTCAAGGACCGGGTCACGATCTCCAGGGACAACGGGCAGAGCTCCGTGACGCTAACCATGAACAACCTCAAGGACGAGGATTCCGGATCCTATTTCTGCGCCAAAAAAGCTTCTGGGAGTTCGGGTACTCTTACTGAGTTTGGTGTTGATGATATTGACCCTGATCTCATCTCTGTGTCCCCACCCTATCCCCAAACCCCAATCCCGGACCCCGTGTCCCAATCCTGGAGTGGCTCTGGCCAAAATTCTCACCCTGATTTTGGCTACAAAGTTCACCCAAACCTTAAACCTTGGCCTGTAATATCCGCATTCAGTATAAAGTTTTGGGCACACAGAGGAGATTCGAAGTCTGGAGGTATGATTGGGGGTCAGTAGATGAGAACTGGGGTCAAGGCAGAGCAAGGTTGGGATCACTGGTCAGGGGCTGGGGACGGGTGGAGACTTCAACAAGGGGGTAGGGCTGCTCTGTTGTCATTGTCACCATGGCCAGCACTGCTACCCCAACTGCCATCAGCAGATCTGGCACAGAAATAGGATCCGGAATCCTCGTCCTTGAGGTTGTTCATGGTCAGCGTCACCGAGTTCTGCCCGTTGTCCCTGGAGATCGTGAATTGGCCCCGCACTGATGGGCTGCACATGGTGCTGCCACTGGTGCTGATCCCTGCCACCCACTCCAGTTCTTCCCCAGGCTACTGCCTCATCCAGCCCATCCCAAAATTCCCAAAATCAAACCCGGACCCTCGGCAGAGGAGGCGCAGGGACCCCATGGGGGGCTGGAGTTGCCCCCCGCACTCCAGCAGGGTCACGGCCACCTGGAGCCCTGCGGGACAAAAGGGAGATGATGGAAATCAAAAGTCTGATTGGTCAAGGGCCTCCAAGTGGGTGTGGCCAGCTGGACAAAGGGGTAGAATCCTCCTGGGAGGATGATGAACTCTAAAGATCCCCATTTGGGGCCAATAGTCAGGATTTGGGTCAAGGGTTGAGCTTTGGCTCCATCCCCATCTCCCCTTTGTCCCGCAGGGCTCCGGGCGGCCGTGACCCTGCTGGAGTGCGGGGGGGACCTCCAGCCCCCCGGGGGGTCCCTGCGCCTCCTCTGCCGAGGGTCCGGGTTCAGTTTCGGCAGTTTTGGGATGGGTTGGATGCGCCAGAGACCCGGGCAGGGGCTGGAATTCATCGCCAGCATCAACAGTTATGGTGGCAGCACCAGGTACGCGGATTCCGTCAAGGGCCGGGTCACGATCTCCAGGGACACCGGGCAGAGCTCGGTGACGCTGACCATGGACAACTTCAAGGATGAGGATTCCGGATCCTATTTCTGTCCCAAACGCGATGCTACTGGTTCTAGTGGTTATGTTGCTGATATTTGTCGTTTCAGCCCCAACTGTGTCCCGGTTCCCCAGACCCTTCCCTCCAACCTCTGACCCCACTCCTGTTCCTTTGTCCCTGCTCTGGCCCTAAATCTCAGCTCCTGGCCCCAAATCAGGGCCGGTTTCACCCTGAGCTCAGCCTCGTCCCTCCAACCCAACCATTGCCCCCAGACTTGTCCAGTTCTACCCCAAATCTCCCCTGCAGGCACCGAGTCAAAGCCACCGACCCAAATCTGCCCCTTGGCCTATCATCAGGAATTTGGGGCTAAAATTTGAATTCTTGATCCCTGATCTTTACTTTGGGCCCAAATCCAGACATTTCGGTGACATTTGGGGAACGAGGGCACTGCGTGTGGTTCAGAGGGGACATGTGGGGCAGAGCCAGAGCAGGGCTGGGGAAGAGAGTGAGGAAATGGGGTCAGGGACTGGAGATTGGGGAAGGGTCTGGGGAACGGGGGCAGGGGGCGATGCAGAGATGGGGACGGGGCCAATAGCATAACCAGGATTAACATTTCCAGTAGCAGTGGTTTTGGCACAGAAATAGGATCCGGAATCCTCGTCCTTGAGGTTGTTCATGGTCAGCGTCACCGAGCTCTGCCCGTTGTCCCTGGAGATCGTGAACCGGCCCTTGACTGATGGCGCGTAGTAGATGGTGCCACCAGTGTTTCTGATGTAGGCGACGAATTCCAGCCCCTGCCTGGGTCTCTGGCGCACCCATTGCATTGCAAAACTCCCAAAATTGAACCTGGACCCTCGGCACCGCAACATCAGGGAATCCCCGGGAGGCTGGGGGTCCCCCCTGCACTCCAGCAGGGTCACGGCCGCCCGGAGCCCTGTGGGGCAAAGGGGAGATGGGGATGAGAAACATGAATGGCTGTGGGCATGAAGTGGGTGTGGCCAGTTGGAAAAGAGTCGGGACCTACTTTGTAGGAGGATGAGAAGGTCCAGGGGTCAGAATTTGTGGCCAAGAGTCAGGATTTGGGTCAAGGGTGGAGCTTTGGCCTCATCCCCATCTTCCCTTTGTTCCGCAGGGCTCCGGTCGACCATGAGCCTGCTGGAGTGCAGGGGGCACCTCCAGCCCCCCTGGGGGTCTCTGTGCCTCCTCTGCCGAGCGTCTGGTTTCAGTTTCAGGAGCTACGACATGAACTGGATGCACCAGAGACCCGGGCAGGGGCTAGAGTGGCTCGCAGGGATCAAGACTGGGGGCAGCGCCTGGGACTCGCCATCGGTCAAGGGCCGGGTCACGATCTCCAGGGACAATGGGCAGAGCTCGGTGACGCTGACCATGAACAACCTCAAGGACGAGGATTCTGGATCCTATTTCTGCGGGAAATCTGACTATAACAATTGGGGTACTGGTGCTGGTGTGGATGGTTTTGGTCTGGACCCTGTGGCCGTGTCCCGACCGGTCCACAAATCCCAGACCCTTCCCTGAAACCCAAACACTTTTGCCCATTCCTGACTCTGTCCCAACCCTAGAGCGGTTCTTCCCCAAATTCTCCATACCTTGCAAGAAAGTAGACCCAAGTCTTAACCTTGGCCTTAAATCTCCACTTTTATTTCAAAGTTTGGGGCACAAAGAGGAGATTTGGGCTCAGGAGCTGTGGTTTGGGGTCAGCGGGTGAGAATTGGGGCGGAGGCAGAGCAAGGTTGGGATCAATGGTCAAGGGCTGGGTGTGGGCTGGGGGTTTGGGAGAAGGGTCTGAGCAACGGGGACGGGGGGGGACACGGGGATGGGGGGCACAGTCAAATCTATAAACAACACCAGCAGGATCATACCACACATTAACAGATTTGGCACAGAAATAGGATCCAGAATCCTCGTCCTTGAGGTTGTTCATGGTCAGCGTCACCGAGTTCTGCCCATTGTCCCTGGAGATCGTGAACGGGCCCTTGACTGAGGGTGCGTAGCCGGTGCTGGAACCATCGCTCTTAATCCCCCCGAGCCACTCCGTCACCTGCCTGGCTGTCTGGTGGACCCACTGCATCCCAAAATTCCCAAAACTGAACCCGGACCCTCGGCAGAGGAGGCGCAGGGACCCCCCGGGGGGCTGGAGGTCCCCCCCGCACTCCAGCAGGGTCACGGCATCTGACTCCATAAGTCAGAATGCTGAACAATTGCTCTATTAAATCTCTACTATCTTACATTAATAATATATTTTATTACATTAATACAATATTATATCTCATTATTACTATATTACATCTCATTAATAATATATTATATCTCATTAATATTATATTTTATCTGATTAATTCTATATTATAACTCATTAATACTATATTATATCTCGTTAATACTGTATTACATCTCTTTCATACTATATTGCATCTCGTTAATGGTATATTACATCTCATTAATACTATATTATATCTCATTAATTCTATATTATATCCCATTAATACTATATTACATCTCATTAATGCTATATTATATCTCATTATTCTATATAACATCTCATCAATACTATATTATATCTCATTAATACTATATTATATCTCATTAATGCTATATTACATCTATACTAAAGAGATACTAAAGAATTCCGTACAAAAGACACGAAAAAATCCTAAAGAATCCCCGTGAGAGTCTGACAGATCCAGGTCATGGCTTCGAGCCCATTGGCCAAGGAAACAAAACAATCTCCAGCAGAACCCAAATGACGAATCCCTGGAGGGGAACAATCCCCCGACACTTTCCACACGCGCAGAAACAGCAGAAGCAGAGAGGAGAGATGGGAATTGTTTCATCTTCATCTTCTCTCTGTGCTGCTCCAGGAAAAATCCTGTGACAGAAAGAGAGAGACAGAGAGAGAGAGGGAGAGAGAGAGAGACAGAGAGAAAGAGGGAATGGTGTCTGACTCTGTGCTGGGAATGAGAATGGCACAGCTGGTCCTGGTGCCCATCTCCCCTTTGTCCCGCAGGGCTCCGGGCGGCCGTGACCCTGCTGGAGTGCGGGGGGGACCTCCAGCCCCCCGAAGGGGCTCTGCGCCTCCTCTGCCAAGGGTCCGGGTTTGATTTTGGCAGTTTTGGGATGGGCTGGTTTCGGCAGAGGCCCGGGCAGGGGCTGGAGCCAGTCGCAAGTATCAGCAGCAGTGGCAGTGCCTACTACGCGCCATCAGCTCTGCCCGTTGTCCCTAGAGATCCTGAACCAACCCTGCACTGACGGACTGTAGATGGTGTAGCCTCCATTGTAGGTGATGTGGGCGACCAACTCCAGCCCCTGCCCGGGTCTCTGGCGCACCCAGAACATGTCGTGATTGGCCAGAGTGAACCCAGAGCCAATGCAGAGCAACATCAGGGACCCCCCTGGAGGCTGGAGGTCCCCCCCGCACTCCAGCAGGGTCACGGCCGCCCGGAGCCCTGCGGGACAAAGGGGAGATTGGGATGGGGCGATACAAAAGCCAGGTGGAGCTGTCGAATTAATTAATGGGTGGATTGGGTCTAAAATCAGGGTTTAAGGTACTGTACAAAAATGGAAACCTCTGTAGAATATTTGAGTCCAGACAAAGGGAATTTGGGACAAAACTGGGGAAGGGTTGGGGATCGGAGAGCGGCTGTGACCCTGCTGGAGTACGGGGAGACCTCCAGCCCCCCGGGGGGTCCCTGTGCCTCCTCTGCAGAGGGTCCGGGTTCAGTTTCGGCAGTTTTAGGATGGGCTGGATGGGCCAGAGACCCGGGCAGGGGCTGGAGTGGATCGCAGCGATCTGGAGCAATGGTGCCACCTACTACGCACCATCGTTCAAGGGTCGCTTCAGGATCTTCAAGGACAACGGGCAGAGCTCGGTGACGCTGACCATGAACAACCTCAAGGACGAGGATTCCGGATCCTATTTCTGTGCCAAGGATGCTGATGGTTACGGTGCTGCTCCTAATGCTGGTTGGGGATGGGGCCATGGTCGGCACTCTCAATATAACTGGCAGCATAAGCGCCCTCGGTACCAGGAGATTTCCCGCATAAACAGGATCCGGAGGGCCCAGGAGCGGAGATTTGGGTCTAGGAGGTGAGATTTAGGGCCACAGCAGGGCAGGGTTGGGACGCAGGCTCAGGAGTGGAGTCAGGGTTTGGAGGGAATGATCTGGGGCACAGGGACAGGAACAGGGCCAAGAACAACATCACCAACATCAGCATCAGAAGCAGCACAACAACTGTAAACACCCTTGGCGCAGAAATAGGATCCGGAATCGTCGTCCTTGAGGTTGTTCATGGTCAGCCTCACCGAGCTCTGCCCGTTGTCCCTGGAGATCCTGAACCGGCCCTGCACCGATGGAGCGTAGCCAATGCTGGAACCGTTGTTGCTGATCCCTGCCACGAATTCCAGCCCCTTCCCAGATCTTTGACGCATCCAGCCCATGTTAAAACTCCCGAAATCAAACCCGGACCCTCGGCACAGTAACGTTGGGGACCCCCCCGGGGGGCTGGAGGTCCCCCCCGCACTCCAGCAGGGTCACGGCCTCCCGGAGCCTTGCGGGACAAAGGGGAGATGGGGATGAGGCCAAACCTCAACCCTTGAACCAAATCCTGACTCTTGGCCCTAAATTGGGACCCTTGGAGTTCATCATCCTCCTCCCAGGTGGGTCCCGACCCTTTTCCAAACTGGCCACACCCACTTTGAGGCCTTCGACCAATCAGGTTTCTCATCCCCATCTCCCCTTTGTCCCGCAGGGCTCCGGGCGGCCGTGACCCTGCTGGAGTGCGGGGGGAACCTCCAGCCCCCCATGGGGTCCCTGCGCCTCCTCTGCCGAGGGTCTGGGTTCAGTTTTGGGAATTTTGGGATGCAGTGGGTCCACCAGAGACCCGGGCAGGGGCTGGAGTGGCTCGGGGGGATAAAGAAAGATGGTTCCAGCACCGGCTACGCACCCTCAGTCAAGGGCCGGTTCAGGATCTCCAGGGACAATGGGCAGAGCTCGGTGACGCTGACCATGAACAACCTCAAGGACGAGGATTCTGCCACCTATTTCTGTGCCAAATCTGTTAATGTTTGGTATGATCCTGCTGGTGTTGTTTATAGATTTGACTGTGCCCCCCATCCCCGTGTTCTCCCCTGTCCCCATTACCCAGACCCTTCCCCCAAACCCCCAGCCCACACCCAGCCCTTGGCCATTGATCTCCACCTTGCTCTGCCTCAGGCCAATTCTCACCCGCTGACCCCAAACCACAACTCCTGACCCCAAATCTCCTCTTTATGCCCCAAAACGTTGAATTAAAAGTGGAGATTTAAGGCCAAGGTTAAGACTTGGGTCAACTTTCTTGCCAGGTATGGAGAATTTGGCGAAGAACCACTTTAGGGTTGGGACAGAGCCAGGAATGGGCAAAAGTGTTTGGGTTTTAGGGAAGGGTCTGGGATTTGGGAGCGAGTCGGGACATGGCCACGGGGTCCGGACCAAAACCATCCACACCAGCACCAGTACCCCAATTGTTATAAGCAGATTTCCCACAGAAATAGGATCTGGAATCCTCGTCCTTGAGGTTGGTCATGGTCAGCGTCACCGAGCTCTGCCCGTTGTCCCGGGACATCATGACCCGGCCCTTGACCGATGGCGAGTCCCAGGCGCTGCCACCAGTGTTGATCCCTGCGAGCTACTCCAGCCCCTGCCCGGGTCTCTGGCGCATGCAGTACATGTCGTAGCTCCTGAAACTGAACCCGGACCCTCGGCAGAAGAGGCGCAGGGATCCCCTGGGGGGCTGCAGGTCCCCCCTGCACTCCAGCAGGGTCACGGCCACCCGGAACTCTGCGGGACAAAGGGGAGATGGGGATGAGGCCAAAGCTCAACCCTTGAAGAAAATCCTGACTCTTGGCCCCAAATTCTGACCCCTGGACCTTCTCATCCTTCTACAAAGTGGGTCCCGACTCTTTTCCAACTGGCCACACCCACTCCATGTCCACAGCCAATCATGTTTCTCATCCCCATCTCCCCTTTGTCCCGCAGGACTCCGGGTGGCCGGTCACCCTGCTGGAGTGCGGGGGGCACCTCCAGCCCCCAGGGGGGTCCCTGCGCCTCCTCTGCCAAGGGTCCGGGTTCGATTTTGGGAGTTTTTCCATGCAATGGGCCCGACAGAGACCCGGGAAGGGGCTGCAGTGGGTCGCGGGGATCAGGAATGATGGTGGGGACACCGCCTACGCGGATTCAGTCAAGGGCTGGTTCACGATCTCCAGGGAAAACGGGCAGAACTCGGTGGTGCTGACCATGAACAACCTCAAGGAAGAGGATTCCGGATCCTATTTCTGTGCCAAATCTGCTGCTGCTGGCAATTGGGGCGATGCTGCTGCATATGCTGAAGACACCAGTTGTGGATCCACCCCCGTCCCCATGTCCCCCCCGTCTCGGGTCCCCAGACCCTTCCCCCAAACCTCACCCATTGACCCTTAGTCCCAAATCTCCCCAATTTGCACCAATGGTCAGCACTGACCCCAAACCCCCCCCTGCTCCTGCCCCAAAACTCAACCATGGGCCCCAAATCTTAACCCCTGGCCTCCAGTTCAGGCCTGCTCCAACCAGGTCCAGGGAGCTGGCGGAGAATTGGGTGGAATTGGCAAAACTGGAGGAAAGTTGGAAATTGGGGCAAAGGTGGTGGACACTGGGGGAGAAGGTCAAGAATGGGGTCAAGGGTTAGGATTTTGGACAGGATTTGGGGATTTTGGGAGATTTGGGGAGACAGGGATGGGGGTTTGGGGCCACCACCAGCGTCGTTGCCATGTCCAGAGCTCCCAGAGAGGATTCCAGCCCAGCCCCAAGGAGCAGCCCCAGACACCAAGGCCGCTGAGGGAGAAGTGAAGCCCCAAGTGGGAGCGTGGGGGGGAGGGAGGGAGGAGAAGACGCCGCGATTTTGGGGCTCCGCAGCCTCCCCCCACTTCCTCCCCGGCAGCTGCCGGGGCCCGGCCGGGGCAGGAAAGGAAACAGAAAGTTCCTGGTTTTGGTCATTGTGAAGGTCTGTGTTTGGCAGAGGGTAGCTCAGCCTCTGGGCGCTGCGGCAGAGCGCCAGCTGCACAAAAAGCTTTGTGTGCAAAGGGCCCTGGAACGATTCCCGTTCCGCACTGGGACGGAGGGGAAGGGCCAGAATTGGGAGAAATGGGCAAAATTGGGGGAAAACGGGGAGTTGGGTCTGCAGGGGCAGAGTTTGGGGGAAAATGGTGAAGTTTTGAGGAGAAGGGCGGGGATTTGCAGGAAGGATCTCTGGGATGGGAGACGTTTGATGACCGTCATGGTCACTGCCATGATTGATGCCGAAACCAGCTTCAAAAGCATTGCCAGCATAACCATTGCAAAGTTTAACGCGGAAATAAACTGCGGAATCCTCGTCCTTGAGGTTGCTCATGGTCAGTGTCAGCAAGCTCTGACCGTTGTCCCTGGAGATCCTGAACAGACCCTGCATCGACGGCACGTATCTGGGAGTGGCAGCAACACTGGTGATACTCGCCACAAACTCCAGACCCTGCCCGGGTCTCTGCTTCATCCAGCCCATCCCAAAACTCCCGAAACTGAACCCGGACCCTCGGCAGAGGAGGCGCAGGGACCCCCCGGGGGGCTGGAGGTGCCCCCTGGACTCCAGCAGGGTCACGGCCGCCCGGAGCCCATCCCCAAACCTTCACCAATTTCTCTCATAACTCCCCTTGTTTGGTCCAAAAACCCTACCAGAGTTTTCCATATCTCAACATGCCTTAAAACTGCAATTAACACCAATCCATTCTTTAATTACTTAGACACCTCATCCTGAGCATTCTGCATTGATTACACAGTTAATACACTGTTAACGACCCCCAATTTGCCCCGGGACCCAAACTCAGGAACATCCCGGCCACACCCACGAGCTACCTCCGGCTCCTGGCCCTGCTGATCCTGCTGCCCCTCCCAGGTGAGCCCCACACCTTTTTTCCAAAAACCACGCCGCTTCTCCCCTGCTTGCTCAATCAGGCTCCTCATCCCCATCTCCCCTTTGTCCTGCAGCGCTCCAGGCAGCCGTGACCATTCTGGAGTGCGGGGGGGAACCTCCAGCCCCCCGGGGGGTCCCTGCGCCTCCTCTGCCGAGGGTCCGGGTTCAGTTTTGGCAGTTTTGGGATGGGCTGGAATCGACAGAGACCCGGGCAGGGGCTGGAATTCATTGCACAGATCAGCCAAGGTGGCAGTACCGACTACGCGGATTCGGTCAAGGGCCGGTTCAGGATCTCCAGGGACAACGGGCAGAGCTCGGTGACGCTAGCCATGAACAACCTCAAGGATGAGGATTCCGCTGTTTATTTCTGTGCCAGACGT